TCTTGTTTTAGCCATGTTTGGATGCAATTGTGGTTAAATCGAGGCCTACCTGCCATCGGAGTTTAATCGGAGCTTAATCGGAGAAGAATCCAGTGAGCTACCTTTTCCGATGATTTTATCCCAAGCCAAAAGTTTTTGTGAGCTACGTTTACAGCTCAGGAAAACTTCGGCTTTCCGCATAAAATGTTTCCCTCCTGGGTTGTTTCTTTTTGCCGCTGTCGATTTATCGCCGTTTCTCTTTCTACGAAGCCTTTCGTCTGGCATTTTCGGTAGCTTTCCACACGAGGCAGAAAGTTTGAAACGAGCCGCTGAACGAGTCTACAGAACGGCTCTTCCAGGTAATCCTCAATTTGCGACCACAAGAAATCGGGTTTAATTTGGCCCTTCATGTTATGTGTGAACTAGTGGCTCGTTCAACAAATCCTGATTAGTGTAATACGAGAATCCAGCCGATAAAATTAAAGAATGGGAAACCTGCGAAGACAAAAGCCTCAGTTCTCACCCCGAATAATCCTCAATTTATAATCTTATATTATAATCTCCGGTGCGAAAAAAGGAGGCTGGATGTATGGTTTAGAGCAGTGATGGTTACCCTTTTTGCCGTCGTGTGCCAAAAGCGGGGGGAAGCATGGGGGGGGGGTCGCATCCATGCGTGCCCACACCCATAATTCAGTGCGCCCCGTTCCCCCCGCAGGCACGCATGACACCCCTGCGCTCCCCCCCCGCTTTTGGTATGTGATGGCACGGTGGGCCCAGTAGGCCCGTTTTTCGCCCTCCCCAGGCTCCAGAGGCTTATTTGGAGCCTGGGGAGGGCGAAAACAGCCTTCCCCATCCTCCCGGAGGCCGGAAATGGCCCGTTTGCCGACTTCCAGTGGGACTGGAAGGCCCATTTTTCGCTCTCCCCAGCCCGCAGAGCCTTTCTAGGAGCCTGGGGAGGGCAAAAACGCCCTTCCTCACTTCCCTCGAGGGCCTCCGGTGGCCGGAAATAGCCTTCTGGTGGGCCTGCAGAATGCTTCTGGAAGTGCGGGGGGTGGTGGTGAAAGGAGGGCAAAAAATGGGCAAAAACGGCCTGTCTTTGGCCGAAAAACCGAGCCGTTTTGGCCTGCAGAATGCTTCTGGAGGTGGGGGGTGGGTGGGTGAAAAACGGGGCACACAAATGCCCCAGGAGGCCAAAAAAATGGGCAAAACCCGCCCGTTTTTCACTTCCCCTGCCGCCAGAAGATAGAAAGAAACAGAGGGAGAGAGAAAAAGAGAGAGAGAGGGAGAGAGAGAAAGGGAGGGAAAGAAAGAGAAAGAAAAAGAAAGAAAGAGAGAGGGAGATATATAGAGAGACAGAGAGAAGGAGAGACAGAAAGAAAGGGAGAGAGGGAGGGAGGGAGAGAGAGAAGGAAAGAGAAAGGAGGAAAGAGAGAGAAAGAAAGAGACAAAGAGATGGAAAGAAAGAGAGAAAGAAAGAGAGGGAGATATATAGAGAGGAGAGAGACAGAAAGGGAGAGAGGGAGGGAGAGAGAGAAGGAAAGAGAAAGAAGGAAAGAGAGAGGGAGAAAGAGAGAGAGAAAGAGAGAGAGAGAAAGAGATGGAAAGAAAGAAAGAGGGAGATATAAGAGAGAGAAAGAGAGAGAGACAGAAAGAAAGGGAGAGGGAGGGAGAGAAGGAAAGAGAAAGAAGGAAAGAGAGGGAGAAAGAGAGAGAGAGAAAGAAAGAGACTGAGAGAAAGATGGAAAGAGAAAGAGGGAGATATAGAGAGAGAAAGAGAGGAGAGAGACAGAAAGAGAGGGTGGGAGAGAGAAAAGGAAAGAGAGGAAGGGAGAGAAAGAGAAAGAGAGGGAGAGAAAGAAAGAAAGAAAGAAAGAGGGAGAGAGCGAGAAAGAAAGAAAGAAAAACAGAGGTGAAGAGAGAGACAGAAAGAGGAAGACAGAGAGAGAGAAGAGAGACAGAGAGAGATTTCTCAAGATCCTTGGGGCTGAGAAGAATTCCTGCAAAACTTGAGTTTTCTGAAGTGGATCACTAAGACTCCCAAACAACTGAAAAAACGATCTAGTAAAAAGAAAATGGACTGTTAAATTAGCCACGCCCACCTAGCCACGCCCACCCAGCTGATCCGGGCCCCCAACAGTCTGAGGGACCGTGAATTGGCCCCCCCAATTTAATAAGTTTGAGGACCCCTGGTTTAGAGAGAGAACCAAAAGAAACGAGGACGGGGCACAGATGTAACTACGGGGTCCTTGGTGCTCTCTGGGCTTCGTTTTCTTACAGACGTTTCATTACCCTTCTACGTAACATCATCAGTGCTAGAAGGGAGCGGGGTTTACTCTCTTTTTATGTATGAAATACAGGTAGGCCTTGATGTATGATCATGATCGAGCCGAGAATCTCTCTTGTTGCTAAACCGGGACCGTTGTTAAGTGAGGTTTGCCCCATCTTACGACCTTTCTTGCCACCGTCGTTAAGTGAATCCCCGCACTTGTTAGCCACACATCAATTCGAGTCAAGTTGCCAAGCGTCCGGATTTTGAATCACGTGACCGCGGGGAATGCTGCGACGGCCATTAAGTGTGCGAAAAAACGGTCCGAGGTCGCTTTTTTCAGTGCTGTGGTCACTTCGGTCACTAAATGAACCGTCGTAAGTCGAGGACGATCTGTATTTTGATTTTCTTGCTAATTTATGCCTTTTTTTCTTCTTCTCGGGAGTGGTCCAGAAAAGAGGGTGGGAAGGAGTGGTGGGGAGAAGGAAGCATGCAAAAAAAGGATTCCTTACAGGGTAATCCATTGGGTTTCCAAGAGCTAAACTGATGAGAAGGGATCCTGGAGTCTGCCCCCTTGTGGTAGGCAGCAAGCATTACATTCTCCTCTTCTGGCAGCGTTGAACTAACGACTACTAGACTCATTATCCCCAATTAGCTCCAGCTGCTTTACTGGATCACTGGGGTTGTATGGCTGCGTATCGGTGTGACTGCACTCCTGTACTACAGGTAGTCCTCGACGTACGACCGACCACTTAACAATTGTTCGAAGTAACGACAGATTCCCCAGAAAAGGTGATTTTGTGCCAATCACCGGGAGACAGTGAGTTCTAGTTCTGCCTTAGGCATGAAAACCAGCTGGGTGACTTTGGGCCAATCACCAGGAGACGGTGAGTTCTAGTCCTGCCTTAACCATGACAACTGGCTGGGTGACTTTGGGCCAATCGCCAGGAGACGGTGAGTTCTAGTTCCACCTTGGCATGAAAGCCAGTGAGTAACTTTGGGCCAATCACCGGGAGACGGTGAGTTCTAGTTCCACCTTGGCATGAAAGCCAGTGAGTAACTTTGGGCCAATCACCAGGAGACGGTGAGTTCTAGTCCCGCCTTAGACATAAAAGCCAGTGGGTGACTTTGGGCCAATCATCAGGAGACGGTGAGTTCTAGTCCCGCCTTAAGCATGACAGCTGGCTGGGTGACTTTGGGCCAATTACCAGGAGACGGTGAGTTCTAGTCCCGCCTTAGGCATGAAAGCCAGCTGGGTGACTTTGGGCCAATCACCAGGAGAGGGTGAGTTCTAGTCCCGCCTTAGGCATGAAAGCCAGTGGGTGACTTTGGGCCAATCACCAGGAGACGGTGAGTTCTAGTCCCGCCTTAGGCATGAAAGCCAGTGGGTGACTTTGGGCCAATCACCAGGAGACGGTGAGTTCTAGTCCCGCCTTAGGCATGAAAGTTGGCTGGGTGACTTTGGGCCAATCATCAGGAGACAGTGAATTCTAGTCCCGCCTTAGACATAAAAGCCAGTGGGTGACTTTGGGCCAATCACCAGGAGACGGTGAGTTCTAGTCCCGCCTTAGGCATGAAAGTTGGCTGGGTGACTTTGGGCCAATCATCAGGAGACAGTGAATTCTAGTCCCGCCTTAGACATAAAAGCCAGTGGGTGACTTTGGGCCAATCACCAGGAGACGGTGAGTTCTAGTCCCGCCTTAAGCATGACAGCTGGCTGGGTGACTTTGGGCCAATTACCAGGAGACGGTGAGTTCTAGTCCCGCCTTAGGCATGAAAGCCAGCTGGGTGACTTTGGGCCAATCACCAGGAGACAGTGAATTCTAGTCCCGCCTTAGACATAAAAGCCAGTGGGTGACTTTGGGCCAATCACCAGGAGACGGTGAGTTCTAGTCCCGCCTTAGGCATGAAAGTTGGCTGGGTGACTTTGGGCCAATCATCAGGAGACAGTGAATTCTAGTCCCGCCTTAGACATAAAAGCCAGTGGGTGACTTTGGGCCAATCATCAGGAGACGGTGAGTTCTAGTTCTGCCTTAGGCATGACAGCTGGCTGCGTGACTTTGGGCCAATCGCCAGGAGACGGTGAGTTCTAGTCCCGCCTTAGGCATGAAAGCCAGCTGGGTGACTTTGGGCCAATCGCCAGGAGACGGTGAGTTCTAGTCCCGCCTTAGGCATGAAAGCCAGCTGGGTGACTTTGGGCCAATCATCAGGAGACGGTGAGTTCTAGTTCTGCCTTAACCATGACAGCCGGCTGGGTGACTTTGGGCCAATCGCCAGGAGACGGTGAGTTCTAGTCCCGCCTTAGGCATGAAAGCCAGCTGGGTGACTTTGGGCCAATCATCAGGAGACGGTGAGTTCTAGTCCTGCCTTAACCATGACAGCTGGCTGGGTGACTTTGGGCCAATCGCCAGGAGATGGTGAGTTCTAGTTCTGCCTTAGGCATGAAAGCCAGCTGGGTGACTCTGGGCCAATCACCAGGAGATGGTGAGTTCTAGTCCCGCCTTAAGCATGACAGCTGGCTGGGTGATTTTGGGGCAATCACCAGGAGACGGTGAGTTCTAGTCCCGCCTTAGGCATGAAAGCCAGCTGGGTGACTTTGGGCCAATCCCTTCCTCTCAGCCCAGCCCACCTCACAGGATCGTTGTTGTGGGGAAATCAGAAGGAAGAATGTGGGTTTTTTTTTTTTTGATAATGTTCACCATCTTATTTGTAGCAATAATAAAAGCGGGGTACAAATCAATCAATTGATCACGAATTTAAAAATACTTCCCAATTTATTGAGATTTACGAGTTTGAGATTGGTGGGAAAGACTTCCAACGGGACGTAAACTCCAGAAGAAAATTTCTGCTAAATCTTTCACTGGAAGATAAAAATCACATTTCCGTGAGAAAACAAGTCTGGGAAAAAAAGGAATTTTGGCCTAAATCTGGAGAAAACCTTCAGCGGCCGAGCACAGTCACGGCCGAAATCCGTCGGTTGGGCAGAGATGGAAAAAACACCGATGCATCAGAGAAGCGAGGAATTCTGGGAAAAAAACCTTCGGGGGGGGGGGGCGGCGAAATCCAGTCCCTTCCTTTGGTTGGAAAAAGGAAAGGAGACCAAGAAGAAAGATTTCGGGGCATCTCCCGAAACCCCTCGGAGATTTTTGCTCCCTGAAACTCCTCTTGACAGTTGTGTCTATGCACAAACTCCACCCCGTCCTCAAAGTTCACAACGTCTGTGCGGAAGGATTCACACCCCGTCCGGGAGTCGTGGTTATGCACCCGGCTTTGCGCACACCGGACGTGGCACCGTCGCACTGGCGCCGCCGTTCTTGTTCGGCTCCTCGCGGTCCCACCTGCCGCAGCAGAAGAGGTCTGGTCTTCCGGGCTAGGAAACGCCCCCCTCGACGCCCGACGGCGAGGAGCACCACCACAGCCGGAGAGCGTTGTCGCCCCGTGGCCGAGGAAGGGTGGAGGGCAGACGGTCCCTTCCTCCTTCTCCTCCTTCCGCCTCATCCTCTCCACTGTCCGGCAGGTCGGGAAACTGGCGCTGGCCAGAGGCCGTGGCCAACAGAGGGAGGGTGGGGTGGAGGCTGAAAGGAAGAGGCGGGAGGATTAGGTTCAAGGCCCGAGTAGCCACATCTGGAACGCCAGCCCGGCTCTTACGGATTAAGGGTGACCCCCACAGCTGGAGGAGCTATTAGAAAGAGGCAGCATAAGCACCGGATGCAGCATTAATACCCCGCAGGGATTGGGGGGGCTCTGCTACAGATCCAGAGGATGGGAGAACGCCCCATCGCAAAACTGGAACCGGAGACTTTCATTTTACTTATTTTACTTCCTATTTTGATTCTATTCTTCTTCCTAATTAACTCTATTCTATTCTAATTCTATATTTTATAATTCATTCTATTCTATTCTATTCTATTCTATTCTTCTGTTCTGTTCTTATATTTTATTATTTGTTCTAATTCTATATTTTATTATACATTCTATTCTATTCTATGTTTTATTATTCATTCTATTCTATTCTAATTCTATATTTTATTATACATTCTATTCTATTCTAATTCATTCTATTCTAATTCTATAATTTATTATACATTCTATTCTATTCTATATTTTATTATTCATTCTATTCTAATTCTATATTTTATTATACATTTTATTCTATACTAATTCTATTTTATTATTCATTCTATTCTAATTCTATTTTATTATTCATTCTATTCTAATTCTATATTTTATTATACATTTTATTCTATACTAATTCTATTTTATTATTCATTCTATTCTAATTCTATATTTTATTATTCATTCTATTCTAATTCTATATTTTATTATACATTCTATTCTATTTTATTATTCATTCTATTCTATACTAATTCTATATTTTATTATACATTTTATTCTATACTAATTCTATATTTTATTATTCATTCTATTCTAATTGTTTCCTAACAAGTTGGGACCTCAACTCCCAGAATCCCTTTCGAGCACAGCCAAGTTTCCTCAGCTGTTGTTTACTAACAAGTTGGGACTTCAATTCCCAGAATTCTTAGCTGTGCTTGAAAGGGATTCTGGGAGTTGAAGTCCAACTAGTTTGCAAACTACAGAGCACAGCCAGGTTTCCTCAGCTCTGCTGTTTCCTAACAAGTTGGACTCCAACTCCCAGAATCCCTTTCGAGCACAGCACGTTTCCTCAGCTCTGTTGTTTCCTAACAATTTAGGACTTCAACCCCCAGAATCCCTTTCGAGCACAGCTATGTTTCCTCAGCTGTTGTTTCCTAACAAGTTGGATGTCAACTCCCAGAATCCCTTTCAAGCACAGCCAAACTTCCTTGGCTGTTGTTTCCTAACATGTTGGGACTTCAACTCCCAGAATCCTTAGCTGTGCTTGAAAGGGATTCTGGGAGTTGAAATCCAACTTGTTTGCAAACCACAGAGCATAGCCAGGTTTCCTCAGCTCTGTTGTTTCTTAACAAATTGGACTTCAGCTCCCAGAATCCCTTTCGAACACAGACATGTTTCCTCAGCTCTGTTGTTTCCTAACAAATTGGACTCCAACTCCCAGAATCCCTTTCAAGCACAGCCATGTTTCCTCAGCTCTGCTGTTTCCTAACAAGTTGGACTTCAACTCCCAGAATCCCTTTCAAGCAGCCATGTTTCCTCAGCTGCTGTTTCCTAACAAGTTGGACTTCCAACTCCCAGAATCCCTTTCAAGCACAGCCATGTTTCCTCAGCTGTTGTTTCCTAACAAGTTGGGACTTCAACTCCCAGAATCCTTAGCTGTGCTCAAAAGGGATTCTGGGAGTCGAAGTCCAACTTGTTTGCAAACCACAGAGTAGTAGAAGAAGCTGGTTCAAACAGGGTCTCTCTCTCTCTGCTTGCGGGGAGTCAGAGCTGTCCTGGGTGGGCAGCGGGAAGCAGAGGCACTCCGACACCCCAATACACACCTTAAAAGCTTTGGGGGTCACTCCTCACCCCCCCCCCCACAAACCCCTGCGGGATTCTAGAGCCCAGTTTGAACCTTAAAAGGCAGACCCTCGAATTCCTCCTTCCCAATGGCACCCGAGCAGAATTCGCACCTGATCCCGTTCACACAGTCTCCCACGGCCTGGAACTGCAGGACGGGCTGTAACACGGCCGGGGGGTCATCAGGGGGAGGCTGGGTGGTGTCCCAGGCCGTAATCTGGCCACTGGTGTTCCCACTCAGCAAATACCGTCCGCTCCTGTTGAGGAAAAAGCACGAGAAATCCGCTTGAATTGCAGCTAGTCCTCGACTCGTGGCCAAAATGGAGCCCGTTTCGTGACCCAACTAGGTAACGTCATCAGCACTGGAAGAGAGGGAGGCTTGCTCCCTGTTTATATAGGGTGGAGCTTGCCTTGCTCATGTTGGTCGGGGTGTGTTTCTCTTCTCAGTGCTTCTTCTATTAGGGTATTGTTTTCTGCTGGGTTGTTTGTCTGGGGTTAATCCCTGCTTATCTGAATGTCGGCTGGTGGACAGTTGTGTGTTCTGGTCTATTTGTAGCCCAGATGGGGTAACCTAGTTGGGTCATGAAACGTCTGTAAGATAAGCACCAAGGTCAGAGAACAGCAAGGACCCTACAGTCCCCCTCCTCTCCTCTTCCTCCTTTTCCTCCTATACCCCACCTGCTCCTCTTCTTCCTACCCCCTCCTCCTTCTCTCCTTCCTCTTACCTTGCTCTTCCTCTTCCTCCTATCCTCCTTCTACCCTCCTCCTCCTATTCTCATTGTCCTCTCCCTCCTATACTCCTCTTTCTATAACCCTCCTCCTCCTTCTACTCTCCTCCTCCTCTTATCGTCCTCATCTCCTCTTCCTCTTCCTCCTATACTCGTGCTCCTCTTCCTCCTACCCCCCCCCCTCCTATTCTGTCCTCTCCCTCCTATACTCCTCTTCCTCCTTTCTATAACCCTCCTCCTCCCCCTATACTCACCTCCTCCTCTCTTCTCCTTTTTCTTACCCCCTCCTCCTCCTATTGTCCTCACCTCCTCCTCTTCCTATCCTCCTCCTGCTCCTCTTCCTCCTTTCTATCCCCCTCCTCCTCCTATTCTGTCCTCTCCCTCCCCTTCTCCCTCCTATACTCCTCTTCCTCCTTTCTATAACCCTCCTCCTCCTCTACTCCCCTCCTACTCCTCTTCCTTTCTCCTATCCCCCTCTTCCTTCTACCCCTTCCTCCTATTCTCATTGTCCTCTTCCTCCTCTTTCTATAACCCTCCTCCTCCTTCTACCCTCTTCTCATCATCCTCACCTCCTCTTCCTCCTATACTCCTCCTGCTCCTCTTCCTCCTTTTTCCTATCCCCTCCTACTCCTCCTAGTCTAATCGTCCTCACCCCCTTCTCTTCTTTCTATACTCCATCCATTCCTCTTCCTCCTCTTTCTATCACCGTCCTCCTATCCTTCCTCTTCCTCCTACCTGCTCCTTCTCTCCTCATTGTCCTCCCCCCCTCTTCTTCCCCCCTCCCTTCTAGCCCTGATGAGGTTCCCTAGTTGGGTCACGAAACGTTTGCAAGAAAACCCCCCAGCTCAGAGACGCACACCCCTCTCCCCAAGGATCCCCGACGAAGTAGAAAACCATCTCCCCCCAGAGATGAGGACAGGAGGGGGATCCCCTCCAGACGATCACTTACGGATCCAGGTCAAAATACATCCTCTGGTTGGTGGCCACCGTACGGGAGAGCGAGAAGACGATTTCGCCTGGCTGTCGGAGGTCCCAGCAGAGAATCTCGGCGTCCTGGCGGGGAATCGAGACGCTTAAAAAAAAACGGAGAAGGAACGAGCCGAGCTCCCGTCTCCTTAACCCGCCAGCCAGCCCAGAACTGGGTTCAAGTAACAAGACAGCCGCTGTACCGTTGCTAAGTCCCTCCCTCCCACCCAGCTTCGGGCTTTTCTACCTTACGGCCGCCGGTGAAGAGGTAAAAGCCGTCCGGGGAGAAGACGGCGTGGGTGACGCCCCCGCGGTGCCCGACGAGCATCGCCAAGGGGTCCCCCTCGGCGCAGGAGTAGAGGCCGACGGTCTTTGCGTACGACGCGCAGGCGTAAAGCGGTTGCGTAGGGCTGAACGCGATGCAGGAGATAATTCCGCTTTGCCCTTGTTTCTTCACTGGAAAGAAAAGGGGGTCCCTAATTAATCCACCATTAAAATCCATGCAGCTATGAAACGGGGGCTTTCAGGGGGGGGACAGGGACCCCCCCACCCCGATGCACCCCATTTGGAGGTTCTTCCGATGCCAGAAGACGGGACGATGTGAATCCAGCTGGCGTCCCACACTACCCTACAGGAAGTCCTCGACTTATAACTGTTGGCTTAGTGACCAACGTTCGACAACGTTCGACACTGGAAGAAGCGACTTACGACCGTTTTCCCCACACGTACGACTGTTTGCGGCATCCCCCGTGGTCGCATGATCAAAATCTGGACGCTTGGCCATTGGCTCATATTTATGACGGTCGCAGCGTCCAGGATGGGGGTGGGGGGGTCACACGATCCCCTTTTGCGACCGTCCAACAAACAAAGTCAACGGGGTAGGGAGCCAGATTCACTTAACGACCACGTGACTCGCTTAACAACTGCAGGGATTTACTGGAGAGAAAGGTCGTAAAACGGGGCAAATTTCAGTTAACCACTGTCTCAATTGGCAAAATTAGAAATTTGGGGCTCCATTGTGGATGTAATTCGAAGAGAACCTGTATTCTAATGTGAGTGTTTTTTTTAAAAAAATCCTGGCCCCTTTAAGAGGCGTGGACTTCAACTCCCAGAATTCCACAGCCAGTGACGCTTATGGGAGACAAGGACTTATGGGAGTTGAAGTCCACGCCTCTTAAAGGGACCATTTTTAATTATTACAGATTACTTTTTATATGGATCCTTTAGAGGGGAGGAACTTTTAAAAAGGACATTGTCACGAGATGGCTAAGAGTAGTCCTCGACGTACGACCACAAGGGAGCTCCAAATCTCTATCGCTAAGCGAGACAGTGAATCGCTGCAACCGTCATAAATAGGAGTCGGCTGCCAAGTGCCCGAATTTTCATCATATGACCATGGGCCAGCGGTCGTTAAGCATGAAAAAACAGGCCGAAATCGCTTTCTCCACTGCCATCGTAACTCAAAAACGGCCGCTAAACGAACGGTCGTAAGTGGAGAACTACCTGATTTGACTCCAGATTTCAGTGGCCTGGGACCCGGGCTTCGCCCTCGGACCCGAACTCAGCTCCTCAAACTCACCAAACGTCGGTCTGTTTTCGCACGACCGGCCGGGCCGCGACGTGTCGAACACGCGAACCATTTTGTCGAAGCCGCAAAAGAGCTGGGCGCCGTCCGGAGTGAAGCAGAGCGAGTGGGCGGCCGTCAGCTCGTCCTGGATGGAAAGGGCAAGACGGGTCTGCGGTCAAGCTCTTCCGCAGAAGAACGGTAAGCCCGTTTTTTTCTCTCCCCGGGCTCCTAGAAAGGCTCTGGTGCCTGGGGAGAGCAAAAAACGGGCCTTCCTGTCCCACCGGAAGTTGGCAAATGGGCCGTTTCTGGCCTCTGGGGGGGATGGGAAGGCCGTTTTCGCCCTCCCCAGGCTCCTAGAAAGGCTCTGGAGGCTGGGGAGAGCAAAAAACAGGCCTTCCTGTCCCACCGGAAGTTGGCAAATGGGCCGTTTCTGGCCTCTGGGTGGGATGGGAAGGCCGTTTTTGCCCTCCCCAGGCTCCTAGAAAGGCTCTGGAGGCTGGGGAGAGCAAAAAACAGGCCTTCCTGTCCCACCGGAAGTTGGCAAATGGGCCGTTTCTGGCCTCTGGGGGGGATGGGAAGGCCGTTTTCGCCCTCCCCAGGCTCCTAGAAAGGCTCTGGAGGCTGAGGAGAGCAAAAAACGGGCCTTTTCCCCCTCACCGAGGCCCTCCGGAGGCAGGAAACAGCCTGTTTCCCTACTTCCAGTGGGCCCAGAAGGCCCGAAAATCAGCTGGCGCCGGAGCTGAGCACGTGTGCCTATCGACACGGCTACACCATGCCACCTGTGGCACGCGTGTCATAGGTTCGCCATCACGGCCCTTCCCCATTTCTGACCGATGGCAGTCCGGTCTCTTCTTGAAAAGCTTCCAGGCACTTTTTGGGCGAGCGTGTGTTTGTATGTGATTGTGATTGTAGAGTCACAACCTTCTCCCAGAATTATTATTATTATTATTATTTTTTGGTTTTTGGGGGGGGGAGTCTTTTAAAAATTAGGTTGCCTTCATTACGGAACAGAATCACAGAAGAGTTGGAAGGGACCTTAGAGGTCTTCCAGTCCAGCCCCCAGCTCAAGCAGGAGAATCTAGACCATTTCAGACACGTGTCTGTCTAGGCTCTTCTTCAAAACCTCCAGGGATGGAGCAAGCACCCACAACATCTGGTGGCAAGGAGTTCCACTGGTTAATTATTTAGAATAACGGTGTTGGAAGGGGCCTTGGAGGTCTTCTAATCCGAGAAAAGGCATCACTCGGGCATCATGGAGGCTTTCGAGAAGAGACCGGACTGCCATTTGTCAGAAATGGTGTAAGGTGGAGGGGGTTGGACTAGAGGACCTCCGAGGTCCCTTCCAACACTGTTATTCTAATAACTAACCAGTGGAACTCCTTGCCACCAGACGTTGTGGGTGCTTGCTCCATCACTGGAGGTTTTTAAGAAGAGACCGGACAGACACCTGTCTGAAATGGTCTAGATTGAACTGGGGGCTGGACTAGAGGACCTCCAAGATCCCTTCCAACTCTGTTATTCTGTATGTTTTAGCCTCCAGCTCCCTAAATCCTCTTTGTTGCTCTTCTCTGCACTCTTTCCAGAGTCTGAAAACATCTTTTTTTTTTAATAGCGTGGACCAAAACCGGATGGGATAGTCCAAGCTTGGCTCATTAACAGAACAAAATAAGTACAGACAACTTTGAAGGATTAATTAACTTCATTTCTGGACAAGATACAAAGCCCAGGAGGCTGGGGGTGGGCTGGGGGTGAAAAGCTCCTGGTTCGGACCAGATCGCCCGATCCGGTAGCGAAGGAGGCGAGTGGTTCGGAGAACCGGTAGCAAAAATCCCTGCCCCCCCCCCATACCCCAGCTGAGCCGCGCAATCATCAGAGGCTTTTTTTAATTTTTAAAAGCATTTTTTCTACAACTTTTGGCCAAAAAAAATGCTTTTAAAAGTAAAAAAAGCCTCTGCCGATCAGGCAAGTCAACTGGGATCGTCAGAGGCTTTTAAAAGCATTTTTTTACAACCTCTTTAGCCGAAGAGTCATATTACCCCCTCTCCCACCAAGCCACGCCCACAGAACCAGTAGTAACAAATTTTACATTTCACCACCGATAAGTATCCCTTTCAGACCTACTCACCAAGTGGTTGTAGGGGCGAAAAGAGGCCCGGAGCTGCCCACTGAAGGCATCCCACAAATGGACAGGGTTGTCTCGGCTGCTGCTGGCCAGGCTGCACGGGGAGAGAAGGCAAGGGATAAGGAAGGCTGGCACGGACTACCACCAAGCCACGAAATTTCATTTTAACGTATGCCGATCAGTGTACATTCAAAGTGAAAATAATTATTTCTATTTCTATTTCTATTTCTATTTCTCTTTTTTTGGTTTTTTTTTTTTTGGTGGCCTAAACCGAACAAAACTCCTCATCGGTGATAAGAAAGGCATCCGGCCAGTAAAAAACTCAGCTCCGTTCAGTTGCCCAAACTCCACCCCGCAGGGGATTATGGGGTCGTTTAAAAGATGATGATCCTAAGTGGTTTTTTTTTTTTCCAGGATGGGCTCCCATTTCTCTCTTTTTTTACAAAAAAAAACAACAACAACACAGCACCCCTTTGTGGGTTTGAGGGAGCAAAAGCGACGCACGCAACTTACAAGCAAGTTTCCGGTTGGGAGGAATTCATCAGCGGGAACCAGCAGTAGTCGTAGAGGGTGTCTCCTTCCGCCATGCGCAGGACGGGGCTCTGTGGAGGGAAAGAGGGGGAGAGGTGGGCTTCGAGCAGGGGGCCCCCGGAGGCTGACCAGGGACGGGGGGCTCACACACCCCAAAGGCCCCGGGGTCCTTCTGAAAGGAGAGGGCGTCATTCAACCAGAGCAGCCTTTCTTTCTCGGCCTTGAAGATGGGGGGACTTCAACTCCCAGAATTCCCCCCAAGGATTTGCTCCCCAAAGGACAAAGACAGGACTGGAGGTGTGAATTCAGGCAGATTCACATTCCTTCTGTTTGCATCTCTTTCCTTCCTTCCTTCCTTATCTCCTTCCTCCCTCTATTCCTCCTCGTCTCCTTCTTTCTTTTCTATTTCATTTCTCTCCCTCCCTCCTTCTTTCCTTTTCTATTTTCTTTCTTCCTTTTCTCTCTCTTTCTTTCCTCTCTCCGTCCCCATCTCCTTCCTTTTTTTCTATTTCCTCTTTCCCTTCTTCCTTTCCTTCCCTTTCTTCCTTTCCTTTTTTCCTTCCTTCCTCATCTCGTCTCTCTCCTTCCTTCTCATCTCCTTCCTTCCTTTTCTATTTCATTTCTCCCTTTCTTCCTTTCCTTTCTATTTTCTTCCTTCCTTTTCTCTCCTTCCTTTCTTCCCTTCTCCCCATCTTCTTCTTCCTTTTCTTTCATTTCTCCCTCCTTTCTTCCTTTCCTTTTCTATTTTCTTCCTTCCTTCTCTCTTTCCTTCCTTCTTTCTCCCCATCTCCTTCTTCCTTTTCTTTCATTTCTCCCTTTCTTCCTTTCCTTTTCTATTTTCTTCCTTCCTTTTCTCTCTCCTTCCTTCCCTTCTCCCCATCTCCTCCTTCCTTTTCTATTTCATTTCTCCCTTTCTTCCTTTCCTTTTCTATTTTCTTCCTTCCTTTTCTCTCTCCTTCCTTCCTTCCTTCCCTTCTCCCCATCTCTTTCTTCCTTTTCTATTTCATTTCTCCCTCCTTTCTTCCTTTCCTTTTCTCATCTCCTTCCTTCCCTTCTCCCCAATCTCCTTCCTTCCTTTTCTCCTTCCTCTCCCCCGCCTCTTCCTTTCTTTCCTTTTTCTTCCTTCCTTTTCTATCTCCTCCCTCGCTTCCACAGTGTGGCCTGCCCCCCCCCACACACACACATCCACAATTCGGCAGTCACAACTGAGGCCCTTTCTGGAGGGAGCTCCACTCTGCAACCAGCGTTGTTTGGGAGAAAACAGGAGAAGGAAGGAAGGAGTACAGGCAGTCCTCAACTTACGACCGTCCCTTTAGTGCCCGAAGTGACAACAGCACTGAAAAAAGGGCACTTATGACCGTCCTCACACTTATGACAACATCCCTGTGGTCACGTGTTTAAAATTTAGGCACTTTTTTTACAAAGGGGAGTGACCTTCGCAGCCGGCTTCCAACAAGCAAAGGAAATGGAGGAAGCCAGATTTGCTTAACGACTGCGTGATTCACTTAACAACAGTGGCTCCCCAAAAATGGGGGTGACTCCCTAAAGAACTGCCTGGCTTAGCAACAGAAATTCAGCCCCCAATTGTAGTTGTAAATCAAGGACTGGCCTATAAGACGCTGAGCTTGTCGATCAGAAAAGTCGGCAGTTTGGCGGTTCGAATCCCTCGTATGGGTCTCCGGCGTGAGCAGGGGGTTGGACTAGATAACCTCCAAAGTCCCTTCCAACTCCGTTACCGTCATTAAGTAGATTTGCTTATTTATACACTGACTTATTCAACAGGCAAGCCCTCAACTTACGACCACAAGAGAGGCCCAAATTTTCAATGGCCGAGCGAGACATTCGTTGAATCGGCGTCGCCCCGTTTTACGACCTTCCCTGCCACAATCGTTAAGCGAATCACCACAGTTGTTTAAGCGAGTGACATGGTCGTTAAGCGAATCCGGCTTCCCCCTCACGGACTTGGCTCGTCAGAAGGTCGCAAAATGGGATGGCATGACACACACACACACACACACACACCCTCCGGGACGCTGTGACCATCGTAAATACGATCCTACGCCCCTTTCCTTCAGCGCCGTCGTAACTTTGAACGGTCACTAAGCAAACCTGTCGTAAGTCGAGGACTGCCGGGGAGCCCAAACGGAGCAATAAATCCACCTACCATTTCAGCCACGTCTCCCCACTGCTCTGCATAAAACTCCACAGGAAGATTGTATATTCGCAGCGTGTTGTCGGCACTGTTGGTAACCAGGCAAGTCCCATCGGGGGCCCTGTAGAAGGAGGGGAGGGGGGTCAGACACACCCCAAAAGAGGGTCTCCCCCCATTCAAGAGGGGGTTCCGCTCCCAGCCCATCTCACAAAGCGAGTCATTTTTTTAATTCAGCCACAAACTTGGAGAGGATAACACAAAGCTGACCAAAAATCGTTTTATTCCAATGTTTCTCAACCTCAGCAAGGTTTACGATGGGTGGACTTCAACTCCCAGAATTCCCCAGCTGGCATGGGGAATTCTGGGAGTTGAAGTCCAACCCTCTAAAATCACACTGGCTAGGGAATTCTGGGAGTTGAAGTCCATTTCTCTTAAATCACACTGGCTGGGGAATTCTGGGAGTGGAAGTCCACCCATTTTAAATCACACTGCCTGGGGAATTCTGGGAGTTGAAGTCCACCCCTCTTAAAGCACATTGGCTGTGGAATTCTGGGAGTTGAAGTCCACCCCTCTTAAATCAAACTGGCTGGGGAATTCTGGGAGTTGAAGTCCACCCCTCTTAAATTACACTGGATGGGGAATTCTGGGAGTTGAAGTCCACCCCTCTTAAATCACTGGATGGGGAATTCTGGGAGTTGAAGTCCACCCCTCTTAAATCAAACTGGCTGGGGAATTCTGGGAGTTGAAGTCCACCCCTCTTAAATCACACTGGATGGGGAATTCTGGGAGTTGAAGTCCACCCCTCTTAAATCAAACTGGCTGGGGAATTCTGGGAGTGGAAGTCCACCCCTCTTAAATCACACTGGATGGGGAATTCTGGGAGTTGAAGTCCACCCCTCTTAAATCACACTGGATGGGGAATTCTGGGAGTTGAAGTCCACCCCTCTTAAATCAAACTGGCATGGGGAATTCTGGGAGTTGAAGTCCACCCCTCTTAAATCACACTGGCTGGGGAATTCTGGGAGTTGAAGTCCACCCCTCTTAAATCACACTGGATGGGGAATTCTGGGAGTTGAAGTCCACCCCTCTTAAATCAAACTGGCTGGGGAATTCTGGGAGTGGAAGTCCACCCCTCTTAAATCACACTGGATGGGGAATTCTGGGAGTTGAAGTCCACCCCTCTTAAATCACACTGGATGGGGAATTCTGGGAGTGGAAGTCCACCCCTCTTAAATCAAACTGGCTGGGGAATTCTGGGAGTTGAAGTCCACCCATCTTAAAGTTGCTGGGGTTGAGAAATACCGGATCGACCCAAAAAAATTCTGCTGTGGAGATCTATTATCTTCCTTCTAAGAGCTTCTCACCTACTTTCAATTGGAACTTGTGCCCATCTGCTTGCCCCATAGAATCCTTCTTTCTCCCATTTTTAACCCCTTCCCACCCGGTCATTCAGCTGCCTTCTTTTTCCTTCTTTCGCCCTTCCCACCACCTCCATCGCTGCTGGGACCAGTCTCCGGGTCCCTAGGTGGGCTTCTTCTGTCCAGTCCCACCGAAGGAGAAGAAGATCTCCTGGAGTAGGTTGGAGAATTCTCCATGTCTTAAGGGACAGCACCGGACAGAAGAACCCAACGACCCAAATCCAGAACAAGGGACTAAGATGATCAAAGACCCGGAGACTCAAATCTACAAAGAACGGTTGCAGAATTTGGGTTTGACTAGTCTGCAGAAAAGAAGAATTAGGGGGGGACATTATAGCATTATCCCAGTATTTGAGGGGCTGCCCCAAAGAAGAGGAGGGGGTCAAATTATTCTCCAAAGCACCAGAAGGCAGGACAAGAAGCAACGGATGGAAACTCATCAAGGAGAGAAGCAACCTGGAATTAAAGAAGAAACTTCCCAACAGCGAGGACAATTAACCAGTGGAACAGCTTGCCACCAGAAGTTGTGAATGCTCCAACACTGGACGTTTTTAAAAAGAGATTGGACAGCCAAGCAGGGGGTTGGACTAGAAGACCTCCAAGGTCCCTTCCAACTCTCTTCTGATTGATTGAAGTGGGAAGCGGCCTTCGTCTCCAAGACCCAGGTAGCCCCACTTGCCCAACGAAAGAGCTCTCCGCCGGCTACTTACCACTTGCAGCCCTTCAAGAAGTTTTCTGGGGTGCGACTATACTCGGCCCACGAGCCTGTCAAAAGTCGGGGGGCCTCCACGAAGTCGTACGCCGGATAGCTAGGAGACAAGGAGAAATAGGGCAGTCGCATCTCGTGAACTAACCTACTAACTGCTACTAACCAATACTATAAATACTGCTAACTAATCGACCTTCAACGAATCTACCATCACGATGAACGATGATGTTACCAAGGTTTGGGTCATGAAAATAACGCGCAAGAACAAAACCAAGCTCAGAGACCATCAAGGAACACACAGTTCTCTTCCTCCTCCTGTCTGCAAACCTCCTAGCACTGATGAAGTTACCTACTTGGGTCATGAGACGTCCGCAAGTAAAAAACTCCAAACTCCGAGACCCTCGCTAAACTGCCTTCCCCAACTCTAACCAGGCCAAGCCACAAAACCACAGAGCAGAAGATCTCCTCCAACCCTATTCTTCTTCTAGGTCCGTATCCAGGAGGAGAAACCTATTCCGAGATCTTCCTTTCTCCAGGATCACGGACGGCCCCGTGGTCCTGTCTAAACTAAGCCGTGTTTCATTCAGAAGACCCGCAACTCACTAATATTCCCCTCCGTCGGTCCATGCTTCATTTTCTTCAACTACTTCCTCCTCCTCCTTCTCGTTGTCCAGCTTTTCCTCGGAGTCCAGCGCGGCGTCCTTGAAGCTGGATTCTTCTTCCTCTTGAGAAAGTCCATGGACAGCTGGATTTTCTTCTTCTCGAGCTCCGTTTAGCCTCGGGACTTTAGAAGCTGGTCCAGATGTTTCTCCAGCTTCCCCACCATTGTCGGTTAACTGTGGCAAATCCGGCATAACCGGAGGACCCTCCGCAGAGAGTTCGGCGTCCATCAGGAATTCTTCAAAAGGGTCTTCGAGACGACGGTCACTAAGCGAGACTCGTTTCTACGAAGCATTTATCCTGGCTACAGCCAAAATTCCAGATTCACCTTCAAGCGGTTTTATTCATCCCAATTTAGGAAGGAAACGGAGGCCAAGAGGCAATGAGGTTTCTGTAGATTTAAAATATATATATATATATATATTAATGTTGATTATGTTGAAATGGTAGCAAGTTATTCTGGGTAGAAGTATTCCAGACCAAAATAGAATTAATTTAGTAGTAGTAGATAAAGATTTCCTTGTATTGGATAAAGCAAGGAAATTGACATTTAAAACCAAGATACTAGTCCTTTGTTAATACAGGCAGTCCTTGGTTTATAACCATTCGTTTTGTGACTGTTGGAAGTTACAACGGCATTGAAAAATGGGACTTATGACCGTTTTTCACACTTGTGACCATTGGTCAGGTGATTTAGATTCGGATGCTTGACCGCTGATTCACATTTATGACAATTGCAATGTCTCCGGTTATTCCCTTTTGCGACCTTCCGACAAGCAAAGTCAAAGAGGAAGGCAGATTCACTTAACAACCGTAGCAAGGAAGGTCGTAAAATGGGGCAAAACTCACTATAACAAATGTCTCACTCAGCAACAGAAACTTTGGGCTCAATTGGGGTCGTTAAGTCGAGGACTGCCTGTACAGTCATCAAATTAAATTACAATAAATGTGTCAAAAGGATTGATTTAATAAATAATCAATTAAAGGGAGGTCCTTGATTACATCAGTAACTTTACGTATAATGGTAAATTATTCCACAATTTAGTGAAATGACAAACTAAGGAATTTCCCATTCATTTATGATTAATTTAATAAAGAATAAATTAAAGGGGTGTCCTTCATTATATCAATAATTTTATGTATAAATTATTACACAGTTCAATGAAATAACAAACTAAGGTGTCCATTCATTTATGATGATTAATTAAATAATAAATGAAGAGGTGTCCTTCATTGCACCAATAATTTTATTTATCATACAACATTATTACACAATTCAATGAAATAACAAACTTCCTTCCTTCATTTATTATTAATTTAATAAATAATAAAGGGGGTGTCCTTTATTATTTTATGCATAAATTATTACACAATTCAATAATAAACTAAGGGGTGTCCATTCATTTATGACGATTAATTAAATAAATAATAAATGAAGGGTGTCCTTCATTGCACCAATAATTTTATGTATTGTACAAATTATTACACAATTCGATGAAATAACAAACTTCCTTCATTTAGGATTAATTTAATAAATAATAAAGGGGGTATCCTTCATTATATCAATAATTTTGTATAAATATTACACATTTCAATGTAATAACAAAGAGGTGTCCATTCATTTATGACGATTAATTAAATAAATAATAAATGAAGGGGTGTCCTTCATTACACCAATAATTTATATGTATCGTAAAAAATTATTACACAATTCAATGAAATAACAAACTTCCTTCATTTATGATTAATTTAATAAATAATAAATTAGGGGGTGTCCTTCATTATATCAATAATTTTATGTATCATATAGTAAAATATTACACAATTCGATGAAATAACAAACTTCCTTCATTTATGACGATTAATTTAATAAATAATAAAGGGGGTATCCTTCATTATATCAATAATTTAGTATAAATTATTACACAATTCAATGAAATAACAAACTAAGGGTGTCCATTCATTTATGACGATTAATTAAATAAATAATAAATGAAGGGGTGTCCTTCATTATACCAATAATTTTATGTATCGTACAAAATTATTACACAATTCGATGAAATAACAAACTTCCTTCCTTCATTTATGATTAATTTAATAAACAATAAAGGGGGTGTCCTTCATTATATCAATAATTTTATTACATTAAATTATTACACAATTCAATGAAATAACAAACTAAGAGGTATCCATTCATTTATGATGATTAATTAAATAAATAATTAAGGTGTGTCCTTCATTATATCAATAATTTTATATATCATATAGTAAATTATTAGACAATTCAATGAAATAACAAACTTCCTTCCTTCATTTGTGATTAATTTAATATTTATGATTTAATTTATGATTAATTCAATTTAATAAATGAAAGGATGGCCATCATTACATCAATTAACTTAATGCATAGTAATAAAACAGTTCAATGCAATGACAAGTCAAGGGCCGGTCGTCATTATATTAATTTTTAATAAATTTATCAACATATTAATTCATTAATCATTATTTTTTAATAAATGATCAACTTAATAAATTAAGGGCTGGACAACCTTCAATCGATTTATAACAAGGAATTATCAATCCATTGGATGAAATAATAATAATACATTAAAGTCGGCCACCCTTCAAATTGAGCCTCCTGACCCGGCGGTGCAGCGTCACGGGAAAGCGCTGACACGTGTCTGGCTATGCGGGGGTCGACACGTGTCACCATCGTAACGGTGCGAAACGATACGATGCGTGTAGAATTGCGGAGCGCCGTCAGAGGGGAGCTCCGGGCCTCCCCGCGGCAGCTTTCCCCGGGAGGAGGAAGCGAAAGGCGGCCCGCCTTCTCCTGCCCTCCCGGAAGCTTCTTCCCTGCGTTGAGGCGAAGGGCGGCGAAACAACCCCGCCATGACAGTTCGGGCTCCCGCCCTCTGAAGCCACGCCGCGTCTCGCGAGATTTGGAGGGTTTCAGGCTCCGCGCCATCTTTCTGCGCAGAGAGATAAGAAACCGAAGAGTAGACACCACCACACCGGATGTTTTAAATTGGAACTTCCGGGTACAGTTTGGTCTCTAAATTCCTCCTTAAATAGCAGAGAGAATTAAATCTGAATTAATTAGTTCAATTAGTTAGTTGAATGGTTGAACTAAATGAAAGAACTAAGTTGTGATCGCAACAGAGCCCAAAATTTCTTCTGCTAGGCGAGACATTGGCTAAGCGACGTTTTGCCCCCTTTCATGACCTTTCTGGCCACCGTTGTTAAGTGAATCACGGCCCGTTGTTAAGTGAGTCACGTGGGTGTTAAGTGAATCCGGCTTCCCCCTGCACTTTGCTCGCCAGAAGGTCGCAAAAGGGTAACCACAGGACCGTCATAAATATGACTCAGTTGCCAACTTTCTGAATTATCATATGCCGAAACGGTCGTAAGTGTGAAAAACGGGCATTTTATGAACTATCGTAAGTCGAGGATTACCTGTATTTGGAAAGCTGGAGTGGCCAATGTCAACTCAGTTGAAGAGAGACCTGATGCACTGCAGAACCCTGCAGGGTAGACCACTGCGAATGCCAAAAATCAAGATTTTGCAGTTCCGTTTTGTTTAACGGCAGACAGGGGCACCCCCTCCTGGTCATGCCAGCTCCAGCATCCGTCCTGCAAGTCCCCTACTTACAACGGTCCTCTTAGCGACCGTTCCAAGTTACAACGGCACTGAAAACTCTGACTTCTGACCATTTTTCATCCCGGGATCCAAATTCAGTCTCTCGGCAATTGACTCATACTTATGACGGTTAAATAATAATAATATTTACGTAAATAATAATAATAATCCTTCCTCCTTCTCTTTTCCGCACAACAACACCCTGAGAGGTCGGTTGGGCAGTGAGAGATGGACTGGGCCCAAAGTCAACCAGCTGGCTTTCGTGTCTAAGGCGGGACTAGAACTCCCAGTCTCCTTGCGATTGGCCCAAAGTAACCCATCCCTCTTTTATGCCTAAGGCGGGACTAGAACTCACCGTCTCCTGGTGATCGGCCCAAAGTCACCTAGCTGGCTTTCATGCCTCAGGCAGGACTAGAACTCACTGTCACCTGGTGATCGGCCCAAAGTCACCCAGCTCAGCTGGCTTTCATGCCTAAAGCAGGACTAGAACTCCCAGTCTCCTGGTGATTGGCCCAAAGTAACCCATCCCTCTTTTATGCCTAAGGCGGGACTAGAACTCACTGTCTCCTGGTGATTGGCCCAAAGCCACCCAGCTGGCTTTCGTGCTTAAGACAGAACTAGAATTCACCGTCTCCTGGTGATTGGCCCAAAGTCACCTAGCTGGCATTTGTGCCTAAGGCAGGACTAGAACTCACCATCTCCTGGTGATTGGACCAAAGTCACCTAGCCAACTTTGATACCTAAGGCAGGACTAGAACTCACAGCCTCCTAGTGATTGGCCCAAAGTCACCTAGCTGGCTTTTCTAGGGTGAAACTAGAACTCACAGCCTCCTGGTGATTGGACCAAAGTCACCTAGCTGGTTTTTCTAGAGTGAAACTAGAACTCACCATCTCCTGGTGATCGGCCCAAAGTCACCTAGCTGGCTTTCATGCCCAAGGCAGAACTAGAACTCACAGCCTCCTGGTGATCAGCCCAAAGTCACCTAGCTGGTTTTTCTAGGGTGAAACTAGAACTCACCGTCTCCTGGTGATTGGACCAAAGTCACCTAGCTGGTTTTTCTAGAGTGAAACTAGAACTCACCATCTCCTGGTGATCGGCCCAAAATCACCTAGCTGGCTTTCATGCCCAAGGCGGAACTAGAACTCACAGCCTCCTGGTGATTAGCCCAAAGTCACCTAGCTGGTTTTTCTAGGGTGAAACTAGCACTCACCGTCTCCTGGTGATTGGCCCAAAGTCCACCCAGCCAAGGCACAACTCCACTACCTAACTGAGGTTACAACTAACCAGGTTTGCATGCCGTGGAAATTGTGATCTTGTGTCTTTAACTGACCCCTTGAAGGCGCGTGCCTTCAACTCATCACGCGGAAAGGATGACACCAGTGTCCAGAAGGGCAGGGTCCTCTCAAGTCCAGTGCCCACAAGGGGACTCTTGGCACTCTCCCAAGCATGACACGAGTCCGAAACGGAGCCGAGTGCGAAAGAGATCAGTGCCCAAGAATGTTAATTTGCAACAAGGAACAAGACGTCTGCAAGGCAGGGACAAAAAAAAAATCTCTGTGTTAAAGATCAAGATGTGACTTCTGATCTCCTTCACATCAGGCCAGCTTCCTCCTCTGAGGGCCTCCCACCATCCGTGGTCATCGAGGGCATGCAACCGAGCGGAGAAAGCCGGCTGGCAACGGGGCCAAGGGTCAGGCGTGGGCTTTAAAGGACCAGCGTCCAGCGGAGGAACGACGGAGGTTCTTCAAGACGTCTCCTGACCACCATGAGCTTCCTTGTCCGTCCTTGGGCCAAAAAGGACGTTCGGGATGTGATGCGGCTGGTTAGGGTGAGAAGCTGGACGGTGGGGGGGGGCTGGGAAGGACAGAAGGGGGGGGTCTCAAGGGGTCAGGAGGAAGGCGGTGGGCTGGGGATTGACCATAACTTTGGTTTTGATTGATTTGTTATGGGCCATGAATCCAATATGACCATCTAAAGGGGGCTTCTCAACCTTGGAGACTTTTAAGTTGGGTGAACTTCAACTCCCACAATTCCCCAGCCAGCAAGGTAGTTTCTGATAGTTGAAGTCCACCCAACTTAATGTCTCCAAGGTTGAAAAATACTGACCTACTTAGATGTTCTTCATGAAGTTCTCTCTCCAACTTGGTCCTTCGTGTCTTCTAATGGTGTCTCCATCACTGCTACACCTCAGTCCATCCACCTTCCTTCTGGTTGTCCTCTTCTCTTTCACCTTTCCCACCCTTATGGACTTCTCTAGAGATTGTATGGGTTGCCTTAATAGAAATTGATTGATTGATGATGACCATCAAGGTAGTGTCAATCTTAACAACCTCCTAGATGAAGATCTGCCTCCACCCTGGTCCTTCAACTCTGCCTCCATCATCACTATAACTGAGTCCTTCCCCCTTGCTGCTGGTCCTCTCTAATCTTCTCCTTCCTTCCAACTTTATGGACTTCTCAAGACAGCTGGGTCTTCCCATGGATTGATGTTCTTCCATCTGATCAGTTCTGATTGATCCCGTAGACGTTCTCCGTGAAGATCTGTCTCCAACCTGATCCTTCAGGTCTTCTAAGGGTGTCCCCCATCACACCTACACCCTAGTTCATCCACCTTCCTTCTGGGTTGTCTTCTTCTCTTCTCTTCCATCTGTCCCACCATTATGAACTTCTCTGGATAGGTTGCCTCATTAGAAATTAAATGATTGATTAATGATATGTGATCAAAGCAATGCAATTCTTAGCAACCTCTTAGAGGTTCTCCATGGAGATCTGTCTCCAACCTGATCCTTCGGGTCTTCTAATGGTGTCTCCATCACCACTACACCTCAGTCCATCCACCTTTCTTCTGGTTGTCCTCTTCTTCTCTTCCCTTCCACCTTTCCCACCATTATGGACTTCTCTTGAGGTTGGATGGCATACCTCAATAGAAATTGATTGATTGATGATGACCATCAAGGCCATGTCAACTCTTTAACAACCTAGATGTTCTCCATGAAGACTTGTCTCCACCCTGTTCCTTCTGCTCTTCCAATGACGCCCCCATCTCTAGTAGGACTTGAGTTCCTCCACCTTCCTGGACATCCTCCCGCTTCTTCTCTTTCCTTCCACCTTTCCCAGTAAGGAGAACCTTGACTTTGGGGTGGATGGATGGAGTTGGGTGGGATGTGGAGAGCGAAGAACCCATCTTGGTATTTCCCTACTGTTGGGGCAACTGTAGGCAAAGAAGTGGTTTTCTGAAGTTGAGGACTGATGGAGAGGACAGAAAAATGGACTCTGTTTGGGAATCTCCCCGCTGGAGTGAGACCCCGGAGAAGACCCCAGAATGTTCTGGTCCACTCACGAGCGTCTCCATCTTTTTCAGGAACTGGCGGTGTCTCACAACGCTCTCCACCACGTGAGAACTTCTCCAGAAGGTAAGAAACACAAGCCACCATCTTCGTGATGCAACCAAAACTCCAAAAAAAAAGTGTTTAACGGAACCAAGGTCCTCTTCTTACGACCGTAACTTCTGTTTAGAGGAGCCTCCTTTCTAAATGGATGAAGTTGTGGGAGCTTCATCCCTTGAAGCTTTCAAGAAGAAGCCGAACTGCCATCTGTCAGAAATGGTGGGGGGGTCTCCTGCTTGGGTGGGAGGGGGGATGGACTAGATGACCTCCAAGATCCCTTCCGACTCTGTTCATCTGTTAAATTGTAATCTCCAAAACAGGTCCCGGCGATCCTTGGAGCCTCTTTCTTTCAATTAAAACTTTTTTTATTAGTTGATCGAAGTCTAAAATACAAAGATTTTGCCTCTTAATTCGTAAAAAAAAAAAAAAAACCTCCACAATCGGCAACTCCGATCTCCCAGCGAGCTTTTTAAAAATGATGTGTGTGGGTGTGTTATTTTGTGTATCGGGACTGCAATTTTTTTTTTCCCTGCCTTCCACGGAAAACTTTGTTTAATCGCCAAACAAGCGGTTTAAACTTTAACCTCTTTTAACTTGATGAACTTGTCTGAACTTAACTAGGTGTCAGATTGGTCTAACCCAGAGGTCAGGAATCTACGGCTCTGGAGCCGCATGTGGCCCTTTCCCCCCCTCTGCTGCGGCTCCCTGTCACTCCAAATACGCCGCCAATATGTGATACCCGCTGGCGTGTAATTTATTGAGTTTTTCAACCCCGATAGGCCAAGCACGGATAAATCCAAAAAAAAGAAAAGTTTCAGAAGAAACTTCAACTACATATGTTACAGGGGTGGGTTCTAACCGGTTTTACTACCGCTTCTCTTTGTGTGCGCGCATCGCGCGCGATCGCGTCTTCGGTTGCGTGCGATTGCCATGCTCATGCTCGTGAACCAAACTTGCGCTTTGCGCAAGCGCGTTGCGAATCTGCCCAGCTGCGGTGCAGCAATCCGCTCTGCCGCACCTCTCCGCTGGGCGAAAAAAAAGAAGAAATGTAAGGTCGGTATAACGCCGGGGCGGGCGGGAGGGCCCAGCTCCTCGAAGACAGAGAACCGGTTCGGTGACGTCATATCGTCGCCGCTACCGGCTCTCACGAACCGGGAGGAACCCACCACTGATATGCTAGATTTTGTGGCCGCTCGAGAAATAGTCAGGCATCGGATGGGGTTTTGTGGCTCCCGGTGTTTTCTTTTCTGTGGGAAACGGGTCCAAATGGCTCTTTTGAGTGTTTAAAGTTGCAGACCTCTGGTCTAACAAGGGGCAACTTCAAATCTCAACCCACAAATGCTCTGTCAAAAAAAATCAAAACATGATATACAAATTAGATGGACATGACCTTGTAGATGACCCTCACTCTCTCAAGGACCTTGGAGTACTCGTTTCTAAAGATCTAAGTGCCCGAGCCCACTGTAACAACATTGCCAAAGAGGCATTAAGAGTTGTGAACCTAATCTTGCGTAGCTTCTTCTCTGGTAATGTTGTACTACTAACTAGAGCGTACAAAACCTTTGCTAGACCAATTCTTGAATACAGCTCGTCGGTCTGGAACCCGCACTGCATATCGGACATAAATAAAATCGAGAGAGTCCAGAGATATTTTACGAGAAGAATCCTCCATTCTTCTACCTGTAGTAAAATACCTTATGCTACCAGACTCCAAATTTTGGGCTTAGGCAACTTAGAACTACGCCGACTTCGGTCTGACCTAAGCGTAGTACATAAAATTATCTGCCACAATGTCCTTCCTGTCAACGACTACTTCAGCTTCAACCACAACAATACACGAGCAAACAATAGATACAAACTCCAGGTAAACCGCTCCAAACTCGATTGCAGAAAATACGACTTCGGTAACCGAGCGGTCAGTGCCTGGAATGCACTACCTGACTCTGTAGTTTAATCCCAAAACCCCCCAAAACTTTAACCTTAAACTGTCTACTGTTGACCTCACCCCATTCCTAAGAGGTCTGTAAGGGGCATGCATAAGTGCACCAGCGTGCTTACCCTCCCTTGTCGTAATATTCCTTTTTACTTACTCTTTCCATGTATTCAAATTATGTTTATACTTTTACCTGTTATTTTATATATGCTTGACAAATAAACTTATGATTATGATTATTGTATGAACTTCTGCAGCTCTCCAAAAAGATGGGTTTGAAAAAGACGCCATCTTCGGGTACCTGGTGGCCGAGGTGCCCCCCGCACGGAAAAGCAAAGACGGTACGGCAAGAGACCTTGTTGGGGAGAGGGGAAGGGGGGGAGCCCAGCCCTTGGGAGGGTGGGAAAGGGGGCTGCGGGCCTGGAGATGGACCGTGGGAATCGGGGATGAAGGAGAAGGCAACCCTCAAAAATATATGTTATACATCACCATTGTTAGGTCGGTTACAGTGCCCGAGCAAATGGAAGAATGTGCCAATTTGGTCTAGTGATTAAGGTACCAGGCTGGAAACCAGGAGATTGTGAGTTCTAGATCATCCAAAGGACTGAAAGCCGGATGAGTGACTTTGGGCCAATCATCAGGAGGTTGTGAGTTCTAGTCCCGCCTTAGGCATGAAAGCTGGCTGGGTGACTTTGGGCCAATCGCCAGGAGGTTGTGAGTTCTAGTTCTGCCTTAGGCATGAAAGCCGGCTGGGTGACTTTGGGCCAATCGCCAGGTGACGGTGAGTTCTAGTCCTGCCTTAGGCATGAAAGCTGGCTGGGTGACTTTGGGCCAATTGCCAGGCGACTGTGAGTTCTAGTTCCGCTTAGGCATGAAACCGGCTGGGTGACTTTGGGCCTGTCCCTCTCTCTCAGCCCAACCTACCTCACAGGATTGTTGCTGTGAGGAAAATAGGAAGAGGAAAGAGTCATAGGTATATTCACTGCCCTCAACTTACTTGTAAAAACAACCAAAAAAAAAAAGGCGGGCAATGAATGAATGAATGAATGAATGTCCGACCAGATAGATAGATAGATAGACAGATAGATAGATAGATAGATAGGGATGATATAGAAGAGAGAGATGATGGATAGGTGCATGGATAGATAGATAGATAGATAGATAGATAGATAGATAGATAGATGATGGATGGAAGGAATAGATGGATGGAATAGATGGAATAGATGGATAGATGGATAAGATAGTGTTGTAGCCTGTACGTGGCCTGTGCAGCTAGTAGCTGATTCCGACAGCGAGGAGGCTGGTGTGGTGCTGCGCCAGCAGCCTGTGCAGCTGGCACTCGAGTCGGACAGTGAGGAGGCTGGAGAAGATGTGGTGCCAGAGGCGGGGATTCAGCCAGGGCCTTCCAGAAGCTTCCATGGGTGAAGAAGGACGAAGAGGAGGAGCCTCTTCTCAATGCACGGGCGCGCAGAGCTGCCAAAAGGCAGGAGTGGCTCCTCAGGAGGAGGTCTCCTCGAGAGTAAGGCTTGCGGCTAATTGGCCACTCCCTTAGCCTATTTAAGGAAGGACGACGACTGAGGCAATTTGCAGGGAACAACTTCGTTCACTCTCCTTCGCGTCTTGTCTTGCTTATCGTATCAGCTTCCTGCAAATTGCTTCCTGGCATTCTGCCAACCACAGTAAGCTTTCTGTTATTATTCTTTGAATTCTTGGCGGCTGTTAATGCAGTTAATTAACAGCTGTTGTTGTAAAAAACTGGTTTATTTAGTAAAGTAAGGTTTGAACGGACTTTGTGTGTGCTGCGTTCTTTGAGGTCCGTAGCTGGGGCAGAACAGAGAGAGAGAGAGAGAGAGAGATGAGAGAGAGAGAGAGAGATGAGAGAGAGAGAGAGAGAGATGATATAGAAGAGAGAGATGATGGATAGATGCATGGGTAGGTAGGTAGGTAGGTAGGTAGGTAGGTAGATAGATAGATAGATCGATAGATAGATAGAAAGAATAGGTGCCCTCTTCCAGGCCCCTTATGACTCCATCCTGGCCCAAAATTCTCTTCTCTTCTCTTCTCTTTCTCTTCTCTTCTCTTCTCTTCTCTTCTCTTCTCTTCTCTTCTCTGTCTTCTCTTCTCCCCTCCTCTCCTCTCTCTTTCTTCTCTCTCTCTCTCTTCTCTTCACTTTTCTCTTCTCCCCTCCATTCCATTCCTGAATTCTATTCTATTCTATTCTATTCTATTCTATTCTATTCTATTCTATTCTATTCTATTCTATTCTATTCTATTCTATTCTACCAAAACCCTTGAACCATTTCACAACCTGGTTCTCAGAGGCAGAGACCTTAACGCATCGCCGCGAAGAACCAAGAAAATTCTTGCAACGGGCCCCAGCGAGAAACGTACGTGAAATCCACTGCCCGCCCCGTGAATGACAATGCCAACGCATCCGTCGTCCCCCTCTGCAGAATTCAGGTTGATCCTTTCTTTCAGTCCCCTCGTCGTTGACTCTTTTTGCTGCTCCTTTTTCGTCGCAGGGACACACCATTGTCGGCTATCAATTCCACTACCTGACCTACTGCACCTGGGACGGCCCGGTTCTCTTCGGCGAAGATCTCTACGTGATGCCGGAATTCAGAGGTAGCGGAGAAATTCGGGGCGAACCGTGACCCTAATACAGCAGGATCTCTCGACGAAAAGGGAGAACCCCGAGAGCCGTCTTACATTCACAACAAAGAAAAAAACTGAATGAGGAGAGTTGGTTGGGCAAGATAAGAGTAATCCCTCCTTTGCATCGCAAATCAACCACAAACTTTGTTTGAAGTTACATACCCAGATGCCAGTTGGTTGCGAGGAATAAACTTTTTTTTTTTTCCTTCTCCGGAGAATCAGTCTCCAGACCTCCTTCTGTAAATGACCTTTCCAGTTTAGGAATGTTAAAAGCCGGCTAATCGATCCGTACCATCACGGGATTCCCTGTATTCCAAGCTCTAATGAAGCTGAACGTTATTTTAAAAGAGAGGAAAATAAGTTAAAGTACAAAATAATTGTGTTGGTTAAAAAATTGCAAAGTCCATGTCATGTGCCCCTCAATTTTTTTTTAAAACAAAATATTAAATTGATCTCTCTCTCTCTCTCTCTCTCTTTCTTTCTTCTCTTTCTCCCCCTTTTCCTCTCTCTCCTCTTTTCTCTCTTTCTTTCTTTCTCTTTCTCCCCCTCTTTCTCTCTCCCTCTCTTTCTTCTCTCTCTTTCTCTCTCTCTCTTGTCTCTCTTTCTCCTCTCTCCCTCCCTCTCTCTTTCTCCCTTTTCTTTCTCTTTCTTCTCTCTCTTTCTCCCCGTCTCTTTCTTTCTTCTCTCTCTTTCTCTCTCCTCTCCCCTCCTCTCTTTCTCCCTCCCTCCTCTCTTTCTTCTCTTCTTTTCTCTCTCTTTCTCTTCCCTCCTTTCTCTTTCTCCCACCCTCCCTCTCTTTCTTCTCTCTCCTTTTCTCCCTCTCCTCTCTTTCATCTCTCTCTTTCTCTTTCTTCTCTCCCCTCCTCTCCCTTTCTCCCTCCTTCCCTCTCTTTTTCTCTCTCTCTTCTCTCTCCCCCTCCCCTCTTTCTCCCACCTCCCTCTTTCTTCTCTCTCCCTTTCTCTCCCTCTCTCTTTCTTTCTTCTCTTTCTCTCTCTTTCTTCTCTCTCTTTCTTCTCTCCCCCTCCTCTCTTTCTCCACCCTCTTTCTCTCCCCTCTCCCTTCGTCTCCCTTTCTCCCTCCCTCCCTCTCTCTTTCTTTCTCTCTTTCTCTCTCTCCTCCTTCTCTCCCCTCCTTTCTCTTTCTCCCCCCTCCCTCTCTTTCTTCTCTCTCCCTTTCTCCCTCCCTCTCTCTTTCTCTCTTTCTTCTCTTTCTCTCTTTCTTCTCTCTCTTTCTTCTCTTTCTCTCTCCCCTCCTCTCTCTTTCTCCACCCTCTCTCTTTCTTCTCTCTTTCTTCTCTCTCTCTTTCTCTCTCTCTCTTTCTTTCTTTCTCTCTTTCTTCTCTCTCTCTCTTTCTCTCTCTCTTTCTTTCTTTCTCTCTCTCTCTCTTCCCCCCCCTCCGTCTTCTTGGCCAGGGAGAGGAGTTGGCACCGCCTTGCTGAACCGAGCAGCCAAGGTAAGACCCACTGGGGAGCAGTCTAGCCAGCAAGTCTTCCCCTAATCCAGTCCATGGGCCCCTAAGGGCCCGTCCAGAATCAAACAAACCTGGTTTTTAACCTTTTATCCCCAGATCACCCTGGAAAAAGGATGCTCCCAATTCCGGTTTGTCTCGGGCCAGAAGCATCAGGCCACGACCGATTTCTTCCGCAAGAGAGGAGCCGTGGACGTCACCATCCGTGATAACTGGCACGTCTTCCGGATTGACAGGGACCCCCTCGTGAAGCTGCTGGAGGAAGCGGCAGCCCAGCCGAACCCCTTTTCTTCCACACTCTAGACACCCCCTCCACACACACACACACTTCCAATTCTACACAAAGTTGTTATGGAAGAAGGAATTGAGAAGACATCCCTTCGGGCAGACAGAGTCAGCTTTAATATTGCAATAATTCAGACAGGTATTGCTACCTAAAGAATCTGAGCAAAGTAAATGAACATGAGAGTCCAACTTTATAAGCGTCAAACAAAGATTCTGTTAACTCAGCAATTCATATGGTCATATACATTTGTACATTTTAATTGACACTCTAATTCTGTTTCATTTTATTCCTGCCAACATTCATAATTCTTCATGTAATTACCTGAAGCATAGATTCAAATATCTCTTGTTGATACAAAAATATGGTCATCCTTGTCTCTCTTACCTTAAAGTGTAAATCTCCAAAATGCTTGTATCTCTGACAACTGAGGCCCTCTCCTCCCGGTTCTACATCAAAGAAGGAATGTGTCTGCCTTTTATTTCAACTGGATACATTTGCAAGCAAACAATTGCTCTTCTACAATACTATGAACAAAGAAGAGGCCCTTCATGATCATACTACACCCCCCCCCGCTTTTCCTACTTAAATTAGCCACTACAATTCCAAAGGACGACTCGGGACCCCCCCCCGCACCTCTCCCCTACCCATTCACCAGTTGGGGGGGAGATATTTTTTCCCCCCTCTTGTTCCTTTCTGGAATGCCGAAGTTTGGCCCTCCCCCATCTTCTTCCAAAGAATACAGAATGCAGACTATAGAATGAAAGAACGCAAATTATGAATGCAGAATGAAGAATGAAGAATACAGAATGCAGAATGCAGGATTGAGATGCAGAATGCAGAATATAGAATACAAATGCAGAATGCAAAATATAGAATGCAGAATATAAATACAGAATGCAAATATAGATTGAAGAATGCAGGATTGAGGGTGCAGAATACAGAATGCAGAATGTAGAATATAGAATGTAGAATGCAGAATGCAAAATATAGAATGCAGAATATAGAATGCAGAATATAGAATGTAGAATGTAGAATGCAAATACAGAATGCATAATGCAAATACAGAATGCAGAATGCAGAATGCAAAATATAGAATGCAGAATATAGAATGCAGAATGCAGAATGTAGAATGCAGAATGTAGAATGCAGAATATAGAATGCAGAATGCAGAATGCAGAATGCAGAATGCAGAATATAGAATGTAGAATGCAGAATGTAGAATGCAGAATGCAAATACAGAATGAAGAATGCAGAATGCAGGATTGAGAATGCAGAATGCAGAATTACAACCGACTTGAAAGGGATCTTGGAGGTCTTCTAGTCCAACCCCGTGCTCGAGGACAAAATAAAAGCTAAGGAAGGGCTCTTTTATAGCTACCCTTTTCCTCTCTCTCTCTCTCTCTCTCCCCCCTTGGTGTGGTTGAAACCCTGCAAGCACCCCCCCTGCCCAGCAGGATTTGAAAATGACAGAAAGGGAACCGAAAAAGGGGAAAGGCCTGGGCTCCTTGGCGGTTTCAAAAACCAGGGTGCAAATTCTTCCGTTCACCCTCTCTCAGCCTGAAGCCACGCTTGCTCGAACGAGGACTTAAATTTGCAAGCCTAAGAAGGCAAGGGGATGGGAGATCTGGGATGCCTGTCCCGGAAAGGGATTGGTTTTCTGGGAGAGTCAGGGGGCTCCTGGGGAGCCCTAGGGGCAGCTGAGCACCGGGGCCTCGGTTTCCATTGGCCAGGGTCTCGTTCCACCAGGATGGGCTGGAATAACTCCCAGTATTTGCAATCAGTCTGGGATTCAAGAGGATTAAACTGAGATTAAGCCAGGAAAGAAACTGGCTAGAGAGTTGGAGAGCTGGGACTGCAAATCTGAACCCACCATCCCCTCCAGTCCCAGAAAAATCTCTCGGACTTCAGGTTTAATCTGGATTTAGAATCTACCAAACCAGGGTTGCAAAACCCCATGTCACCACTAGGAGGCAGCCCACAGATACAGCTATTTTTTTTCCCGTCCTTTGGCGCCTTCTGGTGGCTGCCCCGATTGCTGCATCTCTCAAATCTGTTTTTTGGCTTCGGATTCGTGCTTGACGTGGGAAAGTATTAATAAAAAAAGAATTTAAGAAAATCTTTTTTTTTAAAAAAAAATAATAATCTCAAATTTTATTGTCCGGGAAATTTAAGACTGAACCGAAGACAATTTAAGAAAGGAGATTGTTGCCTGCGTTGAAGTTCCCGCCCCTTTAATTACAGCTAGTGGTGGGTTTTATATTTTGTTACCACTGATTACCATGTCAAAATTGTGGGTTTGTGTTTGTGGCTCACACATTTTTCCCCCGGGGGGGGAAAAAAAAAACAGAATAGAGAAACTGAACCCGAAAGCTCCACTTAGTGATAGAGAAAGAAAGTGAGTCTATCTATACGATTCCTACCTCTATGTTATTGTTACCTCTGTGCTTGTCCCTTTTTCGGCTTGAATCTCGCGAGATCTAAGCGACTTCACGCGAGATGTCTCAGCAGGAGGATAACAAAGAGCTAATAATGCAGACCTGTTTTCTACTTCCGGCAGTGTTTTTGCAATGCCAAGCTGCAAAATTCGGATTTTTCTGAATTATTCCCACTCATTTTGTGTGTTGAATCCTGCCATTCCTCTTCAAATCACCCCACAGAAGCCCCCGAGTGAAAGCCCCACTGATTTCCACCCACTGTGCCCAAAAGGCGCAAAGTCTGTTTTAAAAAAAACCTTTTTATTTTTATTTTTAAAAAGTGCTTTTTTTCCCGCTACCCCTTCAAAAAAAAAAAAAAAAAAAAAAAAGGTTCTCCACAATCTTTTGCCCAAAAGGGCAAAAATACATTTTTCTAATTACAATGCAACGGTTGCAAATGGCAAATAAGAAACATCTTGGAATCCTTGCAAGATTTTATGCATTGCGATTGTAAAACGACATCAAATATTTGGCATTTTTTTCCCCCCGGTAAAAGAGGGGTATCAAACCAAGATTGCATTTGGAAGAAAGGTTTAAACCAGGGGATAACAATGCCTCTGCTGCTTTTGCAGGTAGTCCTCGATTTACGACGGCAACCGAGACCAGAATTTCCATTGCTAAGCAAGGCGGTCCCTAAGTGAGTCGCCCCGGATTTGATACCGTGGTTGTTAAGTGAATTGGAGTCGTTAAGCGAATCCGGCTTCCCGCATTGTCAGAAGGCAGCACGGGAAGGTCGTAAAAGGGGGAAATCAAGTGACCCCGGGACGCAGCCACCGTCATAAATACACGCCAGCTGCCAAGCGCCCAAATTTTGATCATGGAACCACAAGTATTCTGTGATCGTTGTAAGTGTGAGGAGCGGTTGTAAGATCCTTTTTTCAGTGCTTGTTGTAACTCGGGTCACTAAACCAACGGTCATAAATTGAGGACTATCTGAATTTCATCCGTCTTGTGTCCCGCTTCAGAGAAAAGGAGGGATTCAGCAAATGGAGTTATGCCAGTGTTTGTCAAACATGGCCGCTTTAAGACTTGTGGACTTCAACTCCCAGAATTCCCCAGCAGGGAAAGGTTTCCCAGAATTCAGCATGGATAGGATAAGAACAAAGGCGGCTAGAACTACCTTTATTGCAATTTTTTACCATCTTTCTTAATAGATGGTGGGTATGCGGTAAACATAATATATCTTGATATTCAGCAAAGTGGAAAAAAAAAGAACTGGCTGGGGAATTCTGGGAGTTGAAATCTACATGTCTTAAAGCGGCCAATTTGAGAAAAACTGGGTTAGATCTCTCGGATCCTGGACATTTGCAAAACATCATTCCAAAAGGCAAGAAAATATTGGTTGCGACTTCGATCTTGCTGGATCCAAACTCAAAGAGCAGATTCTAAGGATCTCCCAGCTGAAGGATCTCCAAAGGAGTCCCGGAAATCTAAGCCAGGGTGGGCTCCGTTTGTCTGCCCCGCTTTTCTGCAGGAAATCTCAGCCACCGTCATCTTGAATCGGTCTCTTTCCTGCATCCGAGCATCCCGGCTGTGTCAAGTCTACCTCGCCCCGAACCGCAATCCATAATGAAGGAGACACTTCTGAATTTAGAACCCCGTGATTTGTGGGGATCTTTCTCAGAGGTGGGACGGGGGTCTGCAAAGATGATCTACAAACGGAGAACGCCCAGGAAAGTCCCATGGGTGGAGATGTCGAAGGAGGCGTTGAAACGGGGGATGCGCAGACTCAGACGGTCTCCCTGCTGCAGGTGGAAAACCCCTAGAAGTAGGAAAAAGGGGGTTCAGACACAGGGACCCACATTTAACAGAACCGCCAGCCCAGCTACAGGTCGCATCAATGGCCCCTGTGGGCTGGGGACATGTGCAGTGGTGGGATTCAGCCAGTTCGTGCCGGTTTGCACCGGTTCAGGAAAATCGGTAGTTAACTTTCTGAGCAGTTTGGTGAAGTGGCTGTTGGAAGAAATCTCCTTCCAACAGCCTTTTGTTTTTCCCACTTTACGGGGTTAATCCTGTCAGGAAGGCAGGAAGGAGGCCTTCTGGTGTGCCTGTGTTTGTTGTTTCTAGCCTGCTTAAATGTTTTCCGAAACTGGCTCTGAGTTAAGCCTTGTTACATTGTAACAGCTGTTAATGGTTCTTGGCAGAACGCCCAGACTTTCTATAGCCTGAGCTACTCTGGAGTTATTTTTCCACTTTTATTCCACTGGACACATGCCACGTTTGGAGAAAACGGGTTTCCCATCTCCTGCCCAATTAAATGCGAGTTTCTTCCCTCAACTCTCCGGCTAAGCTCAATTCTAAGCTCAGTGCTTAACGCACTGTAAGCCGCCCTGAGTCTCCGGAGAAGGGCGGCATATAAATCAAATTAAAAAAAAAATATAAAAAAAAAATAAATAAAAAAAAAATCACTTTCTGAGCCACGGAAGAAGGAGAAAGACACACGTGGCCCCTGCCGTTCACAACTCGGGGACCCCCATCTCCGCTGCAAAGCCATTCCCACAACTCCCTGCAGCAGACTTCCTACACGGGAGGCTTTTAACAAAAAGATTGGACAATCATTTGTCTGGAACGGTATAGGGTTGGTAGCTAACCTTTTTGCCATTGCATGCCAAAAGCGGAGGTAGCGCGGGGGTGTGTGTCAAGCGCACGTGTGCCCATACCCATAATTTTATGCGCCCCCACCCCCCAAGCATGCGTGTGTGACCCCCCCCCCCGCACTCCACCGCTTTTGGCACGCGATGGCACAGTGGGCCCGGGAGACCTGTTTTTTCTCTCTCCTCAGGCTCCAGAGCCTTTCTAGGAGCCTGGGAGGGCAAAAACAGCCTTCCCCAGGCTTCCTCCTGGAGGCCCTCTGGAGGCCGGAAACAGCCCATTTGTTGACTTCCAGTGGGACCAGAAGGCCCATTTTTCACTTTCCCCAGGCTCCAGAGCCTTTCTAGGAGCCTGGGGAGGGTGAAAACGGCCTCCTCTCCCCCCAGAGGACTTCCGGAGGCCGGAAACAGCCCGTTTGCTGACTTCCGGTGGGACCCAGAAGGCCTGAAAATCAGCTAGCCGGTGCGCACATGAGCACTGGAGCTGAGCTCGCGTGCCCACCGATATGGCTCCACATGCCACCTGTGGCACGCATACCATAGGTTCGCCATCACGCGTATAGGGTTTCCTGCCTGAGCAGGGGTTTGGACTAGAAGACCTCCAAGGTCCCTTCCAACTCTGTTTTATGACTTTAAAAAAAATATTTCAAACCCTTTGCAAAGAAAGGAAGTTGGGCCGCGCTGAGCTACCTCCTCACATGGATTAATAAGGGGTGGATTAAGAAATGGGGAATGGACCCCCAATGGTATCCCACTCCTGACACCAAGAAACCACCTGGGTGAGAGTCCTTTCCCCCCAAAACCAGTGTTTTGCAACCTTGGCCCCTTTAAGAGGCGTGGACTTCAACTCCCAGAATTCCCCAGCCAGCACTACAATTTCCTACTTAATTGTCAGTCCGTCTAGCCCAGCTCTAACGTCTATTAATTTAACTTGTTACGGGTTCTTTTTATTATTTTTAAATTATTATTATTTTCACTTCAAGGTATATTACATCGACCGCATTCCCACTATCTACTAAGAAAGTTACCCAATTCCCAAAAAAAAAAAATGCAATGAAGGTAGTCACATTTGTTATGAAACTTTTGCCGGCTGGGGAATTCTGGGAGTTGAAGTCCACACCTCTTAAAGGGGCCAAGATTGCAAAACTCTGATTTAAGACATTCCGGAAAGGGGAATGGCGGCTCACCTCCACTGTAGCAGCTGTTATATGCCTTCTCCACCTTCGGGGGCATACTCTGGATGCAGCGGAAAAGGATTTGATCCGGCCTGCCTAAGGCGACTCGCCGTAAGACCTGCCCCATGGTAAAAGTGGGGTCATGAACAGCACCTAGGAAGGAAGGGAGAAAGGGGGTTAGGCACAAGAAGTCCTCAACTTACAACAGTTCGTTTAGTGACTGAAGTTACACGGAAAAGAGTGACCAGTTTTCACACAACCATTGCAGCATCCTTATGGCCAAAATTCAGACACGTGTCGTATTTATGATGACTGTCTCGTTTAGCAACGGAAATTTTTGGTCGTAATTCGAGGACGGCCTGTAGTTCATAGAGACAAGCTGCTCTGTCTCGTGTGCGTGCACGCACTGCACAAAAAGCATTGCGATCAACTACGAAATATCTGAATGGTCGTAGGGGGTCCCCCCTCCAGAATCTAACCGGGTCTGAACCTGCTTAGCTTTTTGACATGTTCAAAGTCAGATCGGGTTTTTTGCTGCCTGCTATATGTAGTCCTCGCTATATGACCGCAGTTGGGGATCGCAGCCGCTGTTGCTAAGCGATGGGATCTTGAAGCGAGTCGCTCCTGATTTCATGACAGTTTCGCTGCGCTCGTTAAGCCAGTCCAACTTAACGTGAAATCCAATCATACAAACATCGTTGTTAAGTGAATCATTGGGTCGTTAAGTGAATCAGCCCCCCCATTGAAGCAAACCAACCGCGATCACGTGAGACTCCAGCCTTCATTAAATACAATAAAAAAAAATATTGTTAACCTTATCGTTGTTAAATGAATCATTGGGTCATTAAGCGAATCTGGAGTTCCCCCCATTGACTTTCCTTGTTGGAAACCCTCCAGGAAGGTTGCAAATGGCGATCACGTGACCTGGGGACCCTGCAACCTTCATTAAATGCAATAAAAAAAATACTGTTGAGTGAATCGCAATCGTCGTTCAATGAATCATGGGTCATTAAGTGAATCATTGACTTTTCTTGCCAGAAGCTCTGCAGGAAGGTCCCGAAAGGCACTCGCATGACCCTGATGAGACTGTGCCACCCTCCTAAATATATATATGCCAGTTGCCAAGAATGTTGATCAGGATGCTCAAATGGACGTAAAGGCGAGGACAAGTCATATGTCGTCTTTTTTTTCAGCCGTAAGGTGAGGACTGCCTTATTTTTTTTGGCAAGCAGCCAAGCGACGTTTCCAAGGTAAAGTTGGCCCAACCTCTCTCTCTCTCTCTCAGCTTCGCCCCAGAGACGCATCTTAGCAAAACAACAACAGATTTAAAGATATTTGAATTCTTTGTGTATTTTGTCACTCTTGCTCGTAAATTTATAATTAGCTTCCTTTGTCAATCGGGTTTGTTTACGCCCGAAGCCACAACGGGACTTTCTCTGAAGTTGAAAACCCCAAAAATCTTTGCTTCTTTCCTGAAATGCCCTTTTCAAAAACGTTATTTCTAAAACGGCCTTTTTCAAAAGCGTTATTTCATTTATCGTCGCTTGGATAATCTCAATTTTTTTCATATATATATATATATATATATATATATATATATATATATATTATATATATTGTGTGTGTCCTTTCGCCCTTCGTCTAGCCGATGCCTTGGGACTCGCTCCCTCTCTGACTTCAAAAATCTTCTTTTTTACTAAAACAGAATGAAGAATTAGGAATTGGGCTGGCGTTACAGGGAGTCCTCGATTTACGATCACAACGGAGCCCAAAATGTCCGTGGCTAAGCGAGACAGGGTGAGTTTTGCCCCCTTTTACGACCTTCCTGGCTACCGCTGTTAAGCGAATCACTGCACTGTTAAGTGAGTCACACGGTCGTCAAGAGAATCTGGCTTCTCCTTTTGACCGTCATAAATACAAGTCAAGCATCTGAATTTTGGTCCTGTGACCAGGATCTCGCGGGGGGGGGGTGGACTAGATGACCGACGAGGTCCCTTCCGACTCTATTAATCTGTTAATATCACCACAGAGATGCTGGAACGTGAAAAATCATCATAATTTACTTTTTTTCAATGCCGTTGTAACATCGAATGGTCACTAAATGAACTGTTGTAAGTCGAGGACTCTGTATAATTAAGAATTAGGCACTTGGCTGGCATTACAGGCAGTCCTCGTTTTACGCCCAGACACTTAGAGGCTGTTTAAAGTTACAGCAGACCTTCCTTGGGGCTACAGGTAGTCCTCGAATTACGACCGCAATCGAGCCCAAAATTTTGGTGGCTAAGCAAGACATTTGTTAACTGAACTCGGCCCCGTTTTATGACCTCCCTCGCCACCGTTGTTAAGCGAATCGCTACCATAGATATGTGAGTACCCCGGTTGTTAAGCGAATCCGGCATCCGCATCAACTTCGCTTCCCAGAAGGTCGCGAAATGGGATTGCACAACCTCAGGTTACACAGCAACGGTCGTAAGTATGAGTCCGTTTGTGGGAATGCCACAAAGGTCGTAACTGTGAAAAACGGTCCTGTCCCTTTTTTTTTTCAGTGCCGTCGTAACTCCAAACGGTCACAAAAACAAACGGTTGTAAGCCGAGGACGACCTCTACTTCTGACCCGGATTCAAAGTTCTGACGGTTAGGTGTCTTCCGGGGTCACGTGTTCGAATTCTGGGCGCTCAGCGACGTGGCCACTGCTTTCCGGGGCATTGGTAGCGTCCCACAAGACTCATTTCCAAAAATTTTACCTCAGCTAACGATAACATACGACCGTTATGAGAAAGCTCCATTACGGTCGTATGTCGAGGACTTCATGTAGAGTCACTTCCGAGGCAGAATACAGGGAGTCCTCGATTTACGGCCGTCCATTTAGCGACCGTTCAAAGGGACAATACTGAAAAAGTGGGGATTGACCCTCAGTCCTCCCTGCTCTCGTGATCCCCATTCGCGACCTTCCTGGCTGGATTCATTTAGCGGCCATGCGATTCGCTTAACGACTGGAGCGATTCACTTAACAACGGTGGCAAAAAAAAAAAGAATCGTAAAATGAGGCGAGTCTCGCTGAACCGCTGCTCTGCTTAGCCATGGAAATTCTACTCAACCAGATTGTCGTCGTAAGTCGAGGACTAGGTGAATGTTGGCAAGGATTTTTTTTCCCAGCCGCTGATGAGCCTTTTTCCTTTTCAAATGCCTCCCGGGGGAAAATTAATCCTTGCAATCAAGGGAAGCTAATTGGTCTCTAATTAAGATCTCTGCTCAGCCGAGCCCCGCAGGGAAAACTCTGACATTCCCCTGTTCGGTTTTATGTCCGTCGCATCTCCGGGGAGATCTGCGGTCTCGAACCAGCCACGAGGCCAAGAATCTCCTTCCCTTCCCGACTCTTTGGAGCCCAGGAAAAAAAAAAGAAGGGAAAAGCGGGCGTGACAATTTCACACAACCCGGTGTGAGAATCTGGGTTTGTTTCCCTTGGCGGAATGAATGGCTCAAGGAAAAGAGAGAAACGGCCCAGGAATTGTCCAGCTGTGGAAGAGAGGAGAAAAAAAATGGCCTTTTTCCTCCAGTTCCCTTCTTTCTCCTTCCTTCCTTTCTTCCCTTCTCATCTCCATCCCCTTCCCTCCCCTTCCTTCCTTCCTTCTTTTCTTTCTTTTCCTTTCCTTTCCTTCCTTCCTTCCCCTTCCCGCATCCTTGCTTTCTCCCTTCCCTTCTCACCTTCCATCCTTCCTCCACTCTCCTTCCTTCCTTTTTTCCCTTCCTTCCTTCCTTCTTTCTTTTCTTTTCTTTTCCTTCCCTTCCCATCTTTTTCCTTCCCCTTCCTTCCTCCCCTCCCTCCTTCCTTCTCATCTTCCTCTCCCCTCCCTCCCTCCTTCCTTCACTTTCCTTCCTTCCCTTCTGTTCTTCCTTCCCATCTCTCCCCCCACCCTCCCTTCCTTCCTCTCCCTTCCCTCCCTCTCTCCTTCCTTCCTCCACTCCCCTTCATTCCTCCCCATCACTCCTCCCTCCCTCCCTCCCTTCTCATCTTCCTCTCCCCCTCCCTCCCTCCCTCCCTCCTTCCTTCACTTTCCTTCCTTCCCTTCTGTTCTTCCTTCCCATCTCTCCCCCCACCCTCCCTTCCTTCCTCTCCCTTCCCTCCCTCTCTCCTTCCTTCCTCCTCCACTCCCCTTCATTCCTCCCCATCACTCCTCCCTCCCTCCCTTCTCATCTTCCTCTCCCCTCCCTCCCTCCTTCCTCCCTCCCTTCCCTTCTGTCCTCCCTCCCTCCCTCCACTCTCCTTCCTTCCCTCCTTCCTCCCACCCTCCCTCCTTCCATCACTCTCCTACCTTCCCTTCTCTTCTTCCTTCC